ATAAGCGACTCATAGCGGTGAATAGACGAACTGTTGAGCACGACGATGTAAGTGACTCCTAGCGGTGAATAGACGAACTGTGTTCAGTAGTTGTATCCCCATTTTCCCACATGGACAAGGCCAAAACCACCAAAACAAAACCGAGAAAATCCAGTTTTTTATCATGGAAATCCCGTTTGATCCCAGATGAATTTATTTGTTCGATCCCTAGTGTTATATGACGTATCTTGTTTAAATAGTTGTTCATACATTGCTATTATATTTGATAGTGTAAGTTTTTCTCTAAAATTAAGTGTGTCCTCTTTACCTGCAACTTATTAAGTAAATTTCACAGTTAGGAAAAATTAAATGAAGTATTTAAAGTCCTCTTTACCGCAGCTCATCAAGTAAATTTCACTAAGTTTAAACCAGTTGCAAATAACATATTACTGACAGCTGGTATAATTTGGCAACTGTTGCAGTAAGTCTCACCGCGTAACTTTACCCGATCCATAGTTGAAGGCACTTACATAATTGTCGCTCTCAGTTACCATTTGTAATAGAAAAAAAATTGCCACACTTACCGTTGGTTTTTAAAACAAAAGTCAACTGCGTACAACTAAATTTTAAAATATGATCTAGGCCTATAGTTTCATATATGCAGATATTTACCAAAACACATCCACTAATAATCGCAATGTATAAATACCCAACTGCAGCAAACCTGCAGACTAAGCGAATTTCCATTCGCCTGATTGGATTTATATTAATTGTCTCCTTTAAAATATCACCTTTATTTCCTATTTAAATAGCATTAGTTTTGCAAGTAGGTACTTAGGTTTGCTGCAACAGGGAGGGTAAAATGTGTTTTTTATTTTGTAAAATGTTAATAGTTTAGTATGAAATAAATGCGTTTATCAAATTTGTTCAAAATATGTTCATAAACAAGCAAACTACACCAGTTTACTTTTTTCCATAAGAATATTATGAGAATTTTAAATTTTGTACAATTTTAAACAATATTTTGGAATTTTCTCCCTAATCATTAGGCACATAGTAACGCGTCAGTTACTAAATTATTTGTTTCTTAAGCTCTACAAAATGGCTTGGAAAGAATTTGCTAAATTTTACGTTTTTAGGGTAAAAAATGAGGAAACCCAATTTTTACCCCATAACCCCCCCCCCCCTCTACACCCGTTCTCATAGTCCGATCATACTGGTTCGAAAACTTGTTCTAATTAATGTAGGTAGGTTTACACGTTTATAACAAATTTCATCTAAATCGGATCATTTTTGCTCGAGTTATTGTGCTAACTGACACACATTTATACATACGAATTAGAACGAATGGCGTTTTTGGCCTCTAGGGGCCTTTAAAACGAAAAAAGTAAATCGGCCCTGCGTCCAGGTCTTGCCATGAGTACTACCACTACGGTAATAGCATTGACTATAAATCCTTAAGGAATCCTTTAATCCTTTAAATCCTTTAAGGATTTATAGTCAATGGTAATAGCTTATTCCCTATTATTGGAAATTCGCTAAAACTAATGTCAAACGCAAGTTGGTATTAGTAAGAGTAAATATTTTGCCTAAATAAAAGCACGCATGAAAAACAGGTCGTAAAGGCACCACAATAGGATGCAAATTAGGCTAATGCTTGCAGCATCCACAAACCAAAAATGGATTTTAAGGTCAAAGCACATGTAGAGATGTATAGTAAATGATAACTCTTAATTTGTTGAAATATTATGCAACTAATATCCAACTTTATACATTGATTATTCTGTATCTATTCCATATTGACACTCAAGATATTTCGACTTCAAAACAATCGTAAACTTGCCTTTAGGCTAGTCCATGATGAATTAGATTTTTGTTATTTAACAACTCTACACTGTACGGTGGTTAGAGGTGTCAATTTATATTCCATTGCAACGATAACACTTTAGAATGATTATAGCACTTGTTATTACTGTACAGTATATATATTAAGACAGATAGTTCGAATCTTGCTGTCATTGCTGTCAATGTTTTGACTCGAGTCGACGATGTTACCAAACCATTAACAACGTCAACATCGATGCTTATTTCTAAATTGATTGTATTGTTTGATGACGTCTAACCACCCGGTTTACGACAGTGTACCATATCCCCGCTACATTTAGCAGGTATAAGTACTATCGAGGACGTGACCGGCTGGTTAGACGCCGAATGTAGGAATAGAACTTCGCCGACCCAAGGGAAATGGTACGCATAGTTCGTAGCGAGAGCTATTTGACATTATCATTTATATTCTTTTTAATTATTAATGATACGTAATATTAACCACTTAAATGTCATTTAGTATATTTGTATAAGCAATCTATGCACAATTTACACATTTATTTGCAACGACGTTTATTTTGTTGACAAATAATTATAATTGCAGCTCCCAAACCGCAGTTCCTCAACAAAACTGCTAGCGCTTCGTTCGGTGGCGGCGCCTAGGAGAACTAACTAACCATTGTAGCACCTTGGTGAACTGCTTTACCATAATGACATGTATATCATACAACTTGCCACTTAGATCAAGGAATAAGTTATTCGAGAACAGTCTGTTGTTCAGAAGCACATGACAGATTGATGAGACAATGTTTCATAGCTTACGTAGTTTATTACTGGGGTAAATAAGCAATTATTGGCCTAGGAAGTTTATTTTGTTTTGTTCCAGGACCCTCCACGCCAGGCAACACAACTGACCATGTAAATGATTATTTGAAAAGCCGAAAGTTGAAACTTTTTAAGTAATGTTCAATGATTGGCTTATAAGCATTACACCGCTCCGAGCTCCGGGCAAATGCAAGGTTAAAAGAGGCCACCAACCTCTTACAAAAATAAAATAACCGATTTTTTTTAAAAAACCACAGCGTTTAGTATAATGTAAAATTATTTATGTTGAGTAAAAAATCAGATCAATTGATAAGAAAATGAATATATTTATTTACATTACCATACAAATTTAATTGACTAATAGTACTATTAATTTATACAAAATTAGTTTTTAGATACGGCAATGTTTTGCAATATCTGCAGATATTTGAAAATTCCATTGTAATATTTCGTCAATTTATTTTCGAAATTCGAACATATCCTATCCAATGTGTCGGGTGTTGGCAACGACTCTTGATACCGAAACCAATGTTCCAGAATCGGTGGTATCGAGAATCGACACAAAGGAAGCTGTTTATGTTTGATCTTTTCCCATATTTTTTGCACACTCTATTAAATAATCAGCTTACTTGATAGATCATCGCTTGCAGTTGTCTGCAAAGCAACACACACTTCAATGTGCAGACGATGCATTTCACCACAACACAACGTAACTCAACTCATAATAATACAGTAGACCGTATAAAACTTTCATTTAATTGGTAAGATATAAACAGTTGTTGAACACGTTGTTCTACTTTGTAGAGTTTAAATAAAATATTACTAAGAACATACGATAACTGAAGGTCAAAAACGAAAAAACCCAATCCCCCCCCCCCCATAAAACCCCGTTCACGTGGTCCGATCATGCAGGTTCGCGAACTCGTTCAAAAAAACGTAGGTTTACACGTTTGTAGCGAATTTCATCGAAATTGGATCATTTTTGCTCAAGTTATCGTGCTAACGATACACAAACACATATATACAGGGTGTTCAAAAAGGTGGGGACATAATTTACGTAGTGATTCCTTGGTTCAAAAATAAAAATAAAATCAAGAATAACATTTTTTACAAAATCGCTTCCTTAACCAGATACTATCTGCCATTTTGTATTTTTTACATATACATTTTTATCTTTGGATTGTTTCAACCGATCTTTATGAAATTTGGTGTGTATGTTAAGGTAGAAGAGACCCATGTTAAAATAAATATTCATCTTGATTCAACTTAAAATTTCAAAATGGCGGCCATTTTAGTTTTTTAAACTTAAATTTCTCAAAAACGGCTGATTTTATGAAAGAATTTCTAGCACGATTTTATTTAGAATTATTACTTCCCTATCAAACGTTACCAAGTTCAAAAAGATCGAATAAGAAATAGCTGAAATATTACGGTTTTTAGTTGTAAAATTGGGTAGAATAAGGCAGATGCCATATAGTCAGGTTTTTCCCATTTTGGCCATTTTACAGCTAAAAATCGTAATACTGTATTTAAGCTATTTCTCATTCGATCATTTTGAACTTGGTACCGTTTGATAGGGAATGAAAATGCTAAATAAAACTGTCTTTGGCATTTAAAATTAGCCGTTTTTGAGTAATTTAAGTATAATAATTAAAATGGCCGCCGTTTTGAAATTTTAAGTTGAATCAAGATACATTTTTTTCTAAGATGGGTCTCTTCTACTTTAATATACATACCAAGTTTCATAAAGATCGGTTGAAAATTTTCAAAGATAAAAATGTTTATGTAAAAAATACAAAATTGCGAAAATCTGGTTAAGGAAGCGTTTTTGGGGAAAATGTTATAATTGATTGTCTCTTTATTTTGACCCAAGGAATCGTTACGTAAATTATGTCCCCACCTTTTTGAACACCCTTATGAAATATATATATATATATGAATTTGAACGGATGGTGTGTTTGACTTATATATACATCAAAATGAAAAAGTAAATCGGTCCCGACTCCCGGGTCTGTGGTCCAAGTCTTACCATGAGACCAACGATAATAGCTTATTCTCTATATACAGTATATGGGAAATTCACTAAAAAGAAATTCTAGAATTTTGTAAGCTTAAATTAGTTCTGTCAATTTTTGCATGTAATAAAAGAGTATTCAATGGTAATGTTATGACTATTCCTCTGTCCCTTTCTCTAACATTTAAGTTAGCATATTTTTCCGAATTCTTGAGCAATCAGAAAGCATAGCTACCGTGTTCCCGTGTTTCGTTCGTTGGTTTGGTTTGTCTGTCTCTCTCTACTGCAGACTGCTCTCTCTCTGTCTTGCTTTACTGTCTTTCTGCAATCTGCATGCATGGTTTCTTTAGTACATAAACAACCATCTTTAACGTCATGTTTTAGGGTTAATAATGGGAGTTGGAACAACTTTTCCGTCATTGAACATTCATCAATATAGGTATGGATCGAACTCGAGATGAAAGAGGACACAGAAAGGACTCCTTTAAGAACTATACTCACAAATTTTCTCAACCACATAGACACACTTGAAAACCAACGGAATCCTGAGAAATCGTACGAAGCAGAATTTCAGGTAAATTTGGCTTGGGCAAGATTTTGTTGGAATATTCAACCCCTAGTTGAATACTGATGTATTATTAGGAATTCGCATATTTAGTACTTAGGCCTACTATTTACTACATTTCTAATCTGAATATTTTTTATCTTGTCAACCTAACCTACAAAAATATGCCAGGTAAATACATGTACAGTAATTATACCTGGCAGTATATAATTTTAAATGCTATACAAATTTCTTAGACTGTTCTTTATAAGCCCTAACATCAAATTTACAAACTGTGTTACATTTCAAAGAGTAACCTATCATGATCTTGTAAATTTACCTGTTACAAGTTATTTAGGCCTATCTTTCAATCATTTACAACAGTATCCAGACAAGTTATGATGCATCTGGTATCACTTGATTTGATAAGTTAATTTCAAAACAGTCTTTAACTTAAACAACTAACTTAGGTCTTAGTTTACTTCATTAGAATCTCCACAGGTTCCTCTAACCACAGATTCAGATTCTTTATTAAGCATTCTATTATAACAGGTAGGCCATACCACTTTTATAATAGGCCTAGCTAAACTGTCTGCATCGCTGGTCAATCGCTAGGGCCTGGTATATAAGTTACAGCATATTTTATGAAATATGGGGTTAATGCTTAAACATTATCTAGTTTTTCCCCCTGTTATATGATGAAATTCTGCATCCAGATATGTTTCTTGTAATCAAAAAACTTATCACTGACCTTATCCCGCACGCGGAGGGAGATTCTTCAGTTAAAATTAAAAAAAAAACAGTGAAGTGTACATTTCAGCTAAAGAGCTGCAAATGGTGTCATTCTGTTCATAAATGATGCCAGTAAGTGGCAAGGAGCCTCGTTGTGGCCTAAAAGCGAACTACAGATTTATGCGCAAAAACAGCCCTTAATAAACTGCCCTTATAACTTAGGCCTGTAAATTATGAAGTGAATAAGTTAAAAGTATTTTAACAAGGAAAACACAATATATAATGACTAATTTATTCAACAAGAATACAGAATAAGATAATAATAACTTAGTTAGGCCTAGGCCTATATAAGTTAAAACTAATACCGTAGTTCAATATAATGATAAACCGTACCAAACAATAATAAAATAGGTACCGGTAACCCCGTCGTAGTAAACCTGCAGATTAAGCGAATTTCCTTTTACTTGATACAATTTTCACTAAAATATCGACTGAATTCTCTAATTTTATGAATTCTCCTGAACTAGGCTAATAATTTTATCCTCTAGCCTATTTAAATCACACTAGTTTAACCTTAACAAGTCTACTTAGGTTTGCGGCTACAGGGAAGGTGATTAATTTTTTTTATAGTTAAATGTCAATAGTAAGTAGTAGGCCTATGGAATTATATATTTATAAACAAGTAAACTAGGCTACAACAGGAATTTTTTCCTTGCCCATGAAGCACATTATAACACTTCAATATACTAAATTAGTGTTTTTAAGCTCTTGCAAAATGGTTCAGAAAGAAATTGACAATTTTAATATTTTTAGGGTTGTAGGGTTGTTTTTTTATGTATTAATGTTATACCTTGATATGCTTTTTGTATCTTATGAGTATTATTTTATTTTTCAGGAACTAAAGTTGTTTAGCGAGTCAATAAAAGGAACAAAACAATATTCATGTTCTGAAGGGGAGAAAGAAGTCAATCGGAAAAAGAATCGTTATAAGGATATCTTACCCTGTAAGTACCTTAGATATTTATTTTAAATAGAATAATAACCTTTTAACTCATGACTGAACCGCATGTGACTGACTGAATAAAGTCGTCATCTTGAAGTCTGAAGAATGCCAACTAGGCTTAGATGGTGATTTTACGTGAAATTTAAATCGCTTTATGAAAGTTTAAATCTGAATATCTTACAGCTTTCTTGGATAATGGATCTTTTAATTATATTACAATAATGATCCTTGGTTAAGATTCATCGTGCCCTTACATCTTCAGGGGGATTTGACGAGCCTTCCCCTTCCGTCACACGTAAAAGACACTGCTACAGTTTCACAACCAGTCTGATTTTTAAGTGACAAATCAGTAAACTTTTTTTGAACCAGGACTGTATATAGCACATTATCCCTTAGCTGCTTGATCTTTTACAGCTGTTCCTGATTGTAGTGAGTGTGACGGACAGATGTTGGGTGACCAGGGCAATTACAGCAATAGCCGATATTTGTTTTAAATCTAAGCTCTGAAGATAAGTTAAGCAATATTTTTTATTTCAGCTTATACCTCCTTTACCAGAAAAGCATTTTGTAAAAAAAATTCTTGTAGGTAGTAATTTTTATTAGCGTTTAAAAGACTGCTTTCGCCCACAGCCCGGGGATTTCTCAACATCGTACACGGCTCATTTCTTTAGAAATAGTTTTTTTATTTTTTGTTATACTCAGAGTTAACCCTTCCCGGACGGGCAAAATTGTGACATAGAACAGGAAAAAATTATAAAAAGAATTCAAATTCATTTTCCTTATTTGTGTTTTGTTAAATGCCTACAAGTATACATAAAATAAACACAATGGAACACTTCATACTGTCAAAATAATTTTTTACACGTTTTTAACTATGCAGGTATATCCGCAACCCGTCCGCGGATGAGTAGAAAAGCAGCGGATAAATCGGCCACCCGTCTTTGAAGATATGACCATGACAACATTAGGCAATAAATAAATAAAAATATGGCTACAGGGAAATTAATAAAGTGTGTTTTTTAGTAAAATAATAATAGCTTAGTATAAAATAAATAGACTTGCCAAGTTTGATCAAAATGTTGCAATAAACAAGCAAACTACAACATTTTACAATATTCTCCATAAGAATAACATGGGAATTTAAATTAGCAATTTTTTGAATTTTTCCCTTAACCGTACAAAAACACTTTGGTATACTAAATTATGTGTTTTTTTAAGCTATTTAAAATGGTCTAGAGAGAAATTGGGAAGTTTTGCGTTTTGAGGGTCAAAAATGAGATAAACCTATTTTTACCCGATAAAACCCCCCGTAAAACCCTGTCCCCATGGTCCGATCATGCTGGTTCGCGAACTCATTCAAGTTTATCCCGCTTTGAAACTAAATTTCATCAAAATCGGACAAAAATTACTCAAGTTGCTCATGGACGTATATATAAAAATTTGAACGAATGGAGTTTTTTTGCCTCTGGGGGACATTAAAATGAAAAAGTAAATCGTCCCTGGGCCACCGCCCTGGGGGTTATCTTACCGCGCCACCTACTGTAATAGCTACTCCCTATAGGGAAATTCTGGCTGCCAATATTGCACCGGGTCACCCTTTTGTTTCAAAACGTGAAAATTATGAAATAGGTTATTGATAATATGGAAGGTGGTAGGCCTACTATGAATCCTTTAGAGAACTATTTTGTTTTAAATGTGGACCTATTTTTCAATTGATAGCCCCCCCCCCCGTAGGTATTTTAAATTATACTTAAAGATGAAATTGATGAATGAATTTAATCAATACTAGCACCAGCACGTGTGCCGAACAGCAAAGGGTTCAAATAAAAACAACTGCAGCGAGGTCATTTAATAAATCTTACATTGCCTATAGTTGACATACAAAACAGAATAGATGCTGCTTTAGACTGTTTTTATCAGTTTATATAATAACAGGAAGCAGCAGCTTGAGCCTCTCATTGAGGGTTTATTATTTAAATTTATGCTTTCTCATTTGTTTTTTTTTCATACCGTGACATATTTTAATTTCATAATTTTTTCATTCATTTGTCAGCAATATTTGTCTAAATCCACCATATATCAATATTTGAATAGTGATAAATCATTTTCTAGGCTACAAGTGCTACTTTTCAGGATAGTAAACTATTCAACTGGCTCAAAACAACGAAACATAGACCTTTTTCTCAAGTATTTAGTATAATTAATAGCAGAAAATGTATTGTCCATAGATCTTGTTATTAAATTATACTGATAAGCAGTATTCAATGTTTACTGTGTACATAACAATAATTAAGACCTGATTTTGCATCAAAGCTTTGTGCAGGCCTAAGGCTATACAGAAAAATTTAAAGGGACTGTAATAGCCTTCATTTTCTTTTAAAAGCTTCACATAGGTAGCCTAAATTTTGTTAGTTGCTTGCCTTTAGATAGACATTAAATTTTTTAAACATACCTACTGAATTTGTTTTCTCTAAAGTAAAATACAGTTACAGCGGCGAATGGATAACTCGGTGTTTGCATGATAAAGGCTAATTGATAACATGGACCTTCATCCAACTATTCCATATGATTCCATATGGAACTTCATCGACTATTTAATAAAATGTTGAGTAATAAAATGTTGCTGGTTCCATTATGAGTAAGTCTGTACGGTAGCTTTTTAATGGATTGAAACTGGACCCATCCGTCACTTAATCATTGAGCCGTATTAATAAAGAAGAGGTAAACCTTTTACTTGCGAAAATTCAAGGAAATCCTTCTATCTGTATTAATAAAAACTCAAGCAAAACCTTTTACTTTACAAGGAAAAGGTAATCTATAGAAAGTTGAGGTTTTGCTCATGACTTAAGTAAATGGTTATCAACACTATTCGTGCTATCGACATGTTTGAACATAAAAGTTGCATTTATTTCAATGTTAAGCAATTGCGGGAATTCCCGTCATCAGCACCCAACGTGTTAATAAAACTGACCATTTACTTTTTCTTTGAAGTAAATCCTTCAAAAATGATGCATCTGATCAGTAGCAGATTATACGTTTAAGTAAAAGGTGTGTGGTGGTTTTACAGTGTGGTGCTAAATTTTAGCGAATTTCCTAAATAGGGAAAAAGCCATTCCGTATGTCTCATGGTAAGACCTAGACCCATGACCCATTTACTTTTTCCGTTTACAGGTCCCCAGAGGCCAAAAACCTCCTCCGTTCAAATTCATATACTGTATATGTTTAGCACGATAACTCGAGCAAAGATGATCCGATTTTGATTAAATTTGTTGCAAACGTGTAAACCTACGTTTATTCTAAGGGATTCGCGAATCAGCATAATAGGATATGGAAACGGGGGTTTATGGGCGGTTTAATGGGGTAATTGGATTTTAAAATTTGTTTACCCTAAAAACATGGAATTTAGCAACTTCTTTCCAAGCCATTTTGTAGAGTTAAAAAAAAACTATTAATTTAGTATATCGAAGCGATATTATGCGCCTAATGGCTACGGAGAAAATTTAAAAAAACTGTAGATTTAAAATTTCCATGTTATTTTTGTGGAGAAATTTTTAAACTGTTGTAGTTTTCTGATCAAATTTCCATTCATTTCATACTAAACTATTACATTAAAAAAAAACCCCTTTTTACCCTCCCTGTAGTAGTAAACCTAAGTACTCAGTTAAACTAAAGCTATATAAATAGGGAATGAATGTGATATTGGAGACATTTTAGTGTACATCCAATCAGGCAAATGGAAATTTACTTAGTCTGCAGGTTTGCTGTGGCGGGAGTATTTTGTTTACCTCCTACTAAGCTATCAAAATTTCAATAAAAACACACCTCAACACCTTCCTTGAATCAGCAAACCTAGGTACTCATTAAAATTAATATTATTTAAATAGGAAATAAATCTGACAATTTTCAGGGAATATTTTTGAAGAAATCCAGGCAGAAAAGGAAATTTATTTAGTCTGCAGCTGCGGCGAGGGTTTCTGTGGTTATACAGTACTGCATGCTATCTACAAAGCATATAATATGATGATTTCTATAAACAAATTTAACCCAACTGACTATTATCATCAACCAAATTCTATGTCTAGAAAGGGGTTAAGATTCTGGGGGTAAAATTCCGGCCCACACACTCTAGATTTTATAATTTAGTTTGTTATGATTAAATTCAAAGCCGGATGTTGGCACGGAGTTGGTACAGTTAAGCCTTCGAGGGACATCAGTAGACAAAAATGGACAGGATCAGACGTGTAACATGTGATGTTCCTAAAGAACCATTTACTTCCGAGCAGAAGGATTTGCTTGGAAGTAAAAGGTAATCATTATTAATACGGTTTGAAGGATATGCTTTTACTTTTACCTTTGACTAGAAGCAAATGCTTTTGCTTCATACCTTTTCCTTTTGAGCATATCCTTCTTTTTATTAATACGGCTCATTGGGTTAAAAGCCATACAGGTCATCCAATCCATTTCATTCTCACCCTGCATTCATACTCAATTCAAATAAGTTTAAGTGAATAATAACAACATAATAACTTATAACAAATTAAACATTTGAAAATGGTGTTTTAGCCCCTGAAACTATAGTCATCACAACAAATATAGGATTGATTGACGACAGGTTGGTAACCTCATTTTATGTCGATGCTAGCTCTTTAGATGTTTGTGGTGACAATGCTAGCTGTACCAACATTTGGGGGGGGGGGGGGGCATTGCTAGCTTTGACGACAATGACGGCGACATTCTGGCATAGTTTAGTTAGCTTTCAACCAATATCTGTAGTTTGGGTTAGGCAGATATTTTAAATAGCGGTGTTCAGAATAGTGGAACCTAACTGTATTAAATACAGTAAACTCCCTCTTATCCGGACACCTTTTAACCGGACATCGGTTTAACCGGACTACATTCGACGGAAATGACATTCTCTTTAACCGGACAATTTTTATCAGCACATTGGTTTCACCGGACTAGATTGGCAGGATGTGGGCGGTACTGAAACAACTGTTCTCGTGGGAAAGATTTCAGACCAGTGATTACATGTCTAAATACAATGCTCTCCTAAATTTAAGTCAAATATCACGGTAAATAATCCGTTTTAACGAGTTTTTGGGGACGTCGCCTTAACCGGAAAACCTGTTATCCGGACTGGCCTCGGTCCCGAGGAGTCCGTATAAGAGGGAGTCTACTGTATTTGCTTAATCAGGTCAAGTAAATGATCTTACATCTTCGAGCCAGAATGTGGGCATTTTTCAAAACCTGTAGTATTATGAACGGGCTAAAATAGAAGTTTATGTTGGGTAGCGGATATGTGACTTGGTAAACACTAACATTCATTTTGGTTTGAAGGAACATAATTTAGCATTCCAAAACAGGCCTATATTGTTTACTTTATACTCTATAGACAGAATTGTATAATTATTCTGGGAATCTGTTTTTAGAATTGTTAATTGTATGCAACAATACTGTACATAAAATTAAAGGTATAAAATATCTGTTATACCAAATTATATCTTGTGATGTACATTGAGGAAAATCAAAATTTACTGCTAATTTAATGTGAAGCTTTAACAGGGTTGGCTGACACTTAAATTTTGTTATTTTTTCTAGTAACTTCTTTTATAAGTGCAGTGGTATTGCATACACTACAGGAAAATTCTTTATATACCTACGTTTAAAATATAACAGTTTCAAAATAGAGCCGCGAGAGATACAAATTTTTTTGTCAAACCTCGTAGAAAAATCTTTAAAAAATTTGATGTAATACTGAAGATCTTTGTTTTCTAACTAATACACATTATGGAAACAAAGGATGTTTATCTACGACTCCATTTACCTTATCTTTGCTATAAACAATGAGTGATTCATACAATAATTACATTGGATAAGCAACACATATACCTCCACGACACTCTATGATTCATCAAAGGTACATAAAGCAGCATTTATAAAATTGAAATAACTGATTTTGTTTTGAATCATTGATTGAATTATTATTGAATACTACTTATTTATGGACAATGATTTATTTATAGAAAATTGTAGCCTAAAAAATTATATTACATACTTCTGTTACTTATTCTAGTTTGTCAATCCAAATTTGCAATGAAACCATTACTCTCAACAATGCTTGGAAACTGTTGTGGAAGAGGTTGATTTAAAAATTACATAAATGTAACTTTTTTATTTCCCCACTGAATTATTTTTTTTAGTTGATATTAAAGATTGAAGTATAGGCCTAACTATATAATAACAATCTTTTTTGTTTAAAATAATACGACCCACACATGATTTCCACATAACGCACCGAGCCTAGTTATAAGTTTACAAATTGTACAAAATTAATTTTTTTTTTCAAAAATCTTTGTTAACTATCTTTATTTCTAATTCCACAACAAAGTGCTCATAGCAATCATCCACTATTTGGGACCTTTTTCAGGAGGAAAACAATTTTTACACTCATCCATACTTAGTACATTGATTATATTACTGCAAACATGCCTGCATTTCACTTCAACTTTAGCGAAAGTGTAAAACTGTTGACTACAAATTGTTTAGTTTTGCATACAAATCAAGTAGAGCATTGTGAGTTACCACAGGGGAAGGATAAACAAACTGTTCTGGTTAACAGCTGTAATTTGTAGCACTGTCATTTTCCAAACAATATCTCATCTTTCATACTTAGCTGGAACTCCTAGACAGTCAAGGGTGGATAGATCGTGGAACAGTGGTATAACTGTGGGGCTGCAACTCAAACAACCATGTGGCTGGAACTCCTAGACAGTCAAGGGTGGATAGATCGTGGAACAGTGGTATAACTGTGGGGCTGCAACTCAAACAACCATGTGGCTGGAACTCCTAGACAGTCAAGGGTGGATAGATCGTGGAACAGTGGTATAACTGTGGGGCTGCAACTCAAACAACCATGTGGCTGGAACTCCTAGACAGTCAAGGGTGGATAGATCGTGGAACAGTGGTATAACTGTGGGGCTGCAACTCAAACAACCTTGTGGCTGGAACTCCTAGACAGTCAAGGGTGAATAGATCGTGGAACAGTGGTATAACTGTGGGGCTGCAACTCAAACAACCTTGTGGCTGGAACTCCTAGACAGTCAAGGGTGAATAGATCGTGGAACAGTGGTATAACTGTGGGGCTGCAACTCAAACAACCATGTGGCTGGAATTCCTAGACAGTCAAGGGTGGATAGATCGTGGAACAGTGGTATAACTGTGGGGCTGCAACTCAAACAACCATGTGGCTGGAACTCCTAGACAGTCAAGGGTGGATAGATCGTGGAACAGTGGTATAACTGTGGGGCTGCAACTCAAACAACCATGTGGCTGGAATTCCTAGACAGTCAAGGGTGGATAGATCGTGGAACAGTGGTATAACTGTGGGGCTGCAACTCAAACAACCATGTAGCTGGAACTCCTAGACAGTCAAGGGTGGATAGATCGTGGAACAGTGGTATAACTGTGGGGCTGCAACTCAAACAACCTTGTGGCTGGAACTCCTAGACAGTCAAGGGTGAATAGATCGTGGAACAGTGGTATAACTGTGGGGCTGCAACTCAAACAACCACGTGGGATAACTTGAGTCTACTATACATATGAAACAGTGCTATCTTAGATTTGAGAGTTAGAGTTGGCTTTATTACAACATTTCTGATTTTTTTACATTTTCATTAATAGTTAATTAGTTGACATATGTTTGAGCCATTGATTGTTTTTCCACTGTTATTGAATGTTTAGCCTATAGTACAGAAATTACTGAGTTTTTATCATCCAAATGGTTGATTACAATAAATACCCCTATAGTCCTCGCCATCCTAACTTGAGGCAGCCCAAGGCTGCACTAGATATATGGCATTCGGCCTTGGGCTGCCTCAAGTTATGGTGGCGACTGGCGAGGACTATAGTAGCAGTCTTAATGAGTAGGCTTAGGCCACACTCGAGCGACATATGATGTCCAAACACATTTCAATGGCATTCATGACAGCTTCACGGTTGACAGAGTTGTGCCATTTTGCAGTTGACCTGAGCAGAGTGGTGCTTAATGAGTATGCAGGTGTACCGGGCAGTGACTACATCAATGCCAACTACATCAGAGGAGCGAGCGGCTCTCCGGCGTACATCGCCAGTCAGGGTCCGCTGCCCAACACTGTCAATGACTTCTGGCGAATGGTGGTGCAGTGTGAAGTGCAAGTCATTGTCATGGCGTGCAATGAGGAGGAAGCAGGCAAGGTTTGTACTAGAGACATGGTTAAGCCTCGGACAGATGACGTTAAGTATTAGCCCTAATTTACTTGCAGAAAATAAACTAGCTCTGTGTGGATCAATCATTAGCAGCTAGAGGGTTAGCGGTAGTAGTAAATACTTGCTCCTTGTGACTTTATGTTTACAAATTCTAGCAGTCATTGTGGTGCTAGTTGTCACGTTACCTACTACGGGAAAAACACTAGTGCGTCATTCGCTCATGTGAACCCAAGAAATTAGTGGTAGTTTCTGTAACAGTATGTGACATTTCACAATAATCCATCAACCACGAAGCAAACACTTCACTCTTCACTATGTCACATTTGCTTGTTTTGTGGAAGAATTTCCATGCTAACCTTGAAAAAAGAAACGAGTTTAGGCCTACTATAAATATTTTCTGGTTGGCATAGAATGAATTTTCAGTTGTCTGTTTTATTTCAGCACAAATGTGAGAACTATTGGGTGGAGGGGGAGGGAGAAGAGAAGCAGTTTGGTATGGTCTCGCTTCGTCTCATCAAGGCAAGCACGGTTTGTCCAGACTTCTCCGTGCGTACCATGCGACTTAAGTATACCAACACACAGTCCAACACTGGTAAGCATCTTCATTCAACCAAATCTAATCCAAGTACTAAGTATTCTTGACCCTTCACAGTTGAACTGATGATTTAATCATGTAACCCTATAGCTTCATTTTAACAGTCACAATTAAAGGAAATTTTTTTAGTACTTGCTTTAGTTATTATCCAGTAAATTGCTTTACCTACTCTACAACTACAACTGAATCGCAAGCTCGTTGCTGGGTTTTTGGTTAGACAACTTAATATGGAGATCTGTGGCTCTCTTACACATTACCTCTTGTGTGTTTACCATGTTCACCTTGTGAGGAACTAAATTTTAAGGGGGTAAAAACGTACTACTATTCAACAAACACCATAACTTGCCAGTTTTCATCCACAATAGCCTAATCCTAAGCCTATGTGTTGGCCATAGCTTGGGCTATGGGCCAAAGAACGTAGGCCTCGTTTTAATCACAGTTAAGGACATATACTTACTCACACGACATATGTATCGATAGTTACACTCCAGTTTAACCAAATAAATATAGACCAACCAATTTTACGAATATTTATCACCGATGACGACGACATCCCCGAACTGGTGTTTGTTGACCGACGACAGACGACAACTAGACCGGATCAACAGGTGAATTTCCGATCAGCTGTTGGCTAGTTCTTGAACTCACCACCAGAGCACTTAAGCCTCAGCCGAGGAAATCGTGATTTGAGCCGGGGAAGAGATTATTCGCTGTTCAACCGTTGACTCGCTCGCGAGAAGCCTCTTCGTATACGAAAACTGTCTACGCCATACTACTTTATCTATTCAGGTTAGCTACGTTTTATTTTTAGACTTTGCTACGTTCATTTAATTTTCGTTATAACATACGCATACTCGTCTGTCTCTCATTTCCGCCGTTCAGAGTAGATTTTAAATAACAAAATTTAATAACTTTAGACTACACTGACTTTGGCTCAGACCCGCCAGTTCCTGCCGGTCAGTAACTACCGGTGGCTATCTATCGTTTAGCTTTATTTTAATTAATTAGGTAGTTTCAAAATTACAATTGATCCTTGACGCGCAACTGTTTGATTTATTCACCGTTCTAATAGTCCGAGACTTTTCGACTGAGTTCTAAATCCCGTCTTTGGCGGGTGAAAGAATCAAGTCTGGGAGTAGGCTGATTTGAACAATCAGCTACTAATATTAGTATCAAATCTGTTTTAAACTGTATCACGCTAAATTTTCCGTCAAATCATATTAATTAGGCTCCGACAACTCTGTAGGAATTATTTTTTTACCTTATATTCTATATGATATCAATTACCAACGTCCGTAACCATTTGTTTTAAAGTTTAATTTGAGTATTTTATCGCATGGCCAAGAGTGAATACTCGTCGGCCCTAGAGAGTCAATATAAAAGCTAGGCAAAATTATCCAAAAACACTTTAACAAAGGTGAGTGTGATATAGCTCCAACTGAGCGTCCTGAGCGCTTCTAGAGCTCCGAGCCTTTGATTAAATTTAATAAATAGATCAGTCAAAGCCGTGACAACTTTGTATCGACCCCTGGATTTTTCTCGGCTCCTTCTGAACACTCCGGGGAAGAAATTTGAGTGTGGCTGGTTCTAGGGGTAGGCCTAGCCTGACTTTGTGAATAAGCCTAATTCACAACCTAATAAAAGCTGCTATTATGTCTGTCCTCAGTAGCTCAATTATTTATTTATCTGCATGAATATGCAGAGATTATGGTATTTCTATATAAAAATAATTTGGTTACAAACTATATTTAATACTAACATAAATTGATATAAAACCAAAACTATGCCAAAATATCTGTACTATCATGACAAGTACAACAGTGAAACCCGCATTTGAATCTGGCAAGTTTCACAATGAAAATACAACAGCCTCATATAAAATGTATGACTGCGGTTCACAATAGGTTAGGTTAGGACTGATACAAGCCTAGTTCTGAGCATGACAGACAAAGATCTATGATCAAAAATAACTAACAAAAATGATTTTCTAAAACATAAACGATAGATGACACAAGCATTTTTGATTTTGTTGTTTTGTTGTGATTCACCCACCATTTCAATTGCACAGTGTTGAGGTAACATAAATGAAGTTTTTTCATTATTACCTAAACTTTACCTTCCTAATCCAAACTAATTTCAAAACACTTAATACTTCACAATCCACATAAAACCTGACCTACCCTCTTCACAAGCCTAAATAAGAACTGATTAGTCTGCAATAATCAAACATAAGTTAAGCATTTCTAGATTCCTTTAACGATTGGTAATCTTTGCATTCTGATTGCATTTACACATATACATTATGTATGTGAAGTTTATATGCATTGCACCTTTGCATTTCCTTAGTTAAAGAATCTACTCCTCATCATCCCTTCATCTCTAGCCTCTCCTCCAAACCTCTTGTTCTTGTCGAAGACTCTAAAGTATTGAAACGATCCATTTTGAATGATTTGTTAAGTTTGTTCCAATCCAAATGATTTGTATGATACATCAATATTAAATTTTTAATTGGTAAAAGTATATTAGCCATACATACAAACATCTGTTAATTTTATTTACAAACAAGCAATATGTATTACCCCGTCGGTACAATAATAAATAAATATTGTATTACTGAAATTATGACGATGGTGTCCTAAACATCAAAACTTGTCCTAAATTGACATATTTGGTTGAGTTGTGTTGGAATTACGCAAGTAATTTAACCTTACATTACTGAAATTCTTTTCCATTTAATTTGTTACAGGGATTTATTTGTTGTAAAATATATAGTGTGAGATGGTAAAAGCACAAACACTTTTTTTAATGTTATGATAATATTGCTAACATTGGGACTATTTTCTTCTTATTTTGCCATAGGGAGGAAAAGAGCTACTGCAGTGCCTCAACATGTGTATTTAAAACATAAGTTTTTTTTGCTTATTCTTTCTAATTTTATCTATCGTGCAGAGGAGCGCACAGTGTGCCAGTTCCACTACTCCGCGTGGCCAGACCATGGAGTGCCACCCCTGGTCAGACCTCTGTTAGACATGGTGAGGTTAGTCAGGGACACTCAGGCCTCGGAGACTTTACCTGTGCTCATCCACTGCTCCGCTGGCTGTGGTCGTACAGGCACCATCTGCGCCATTGACTATGTCTGGGGCCTGCTGCGTGCTGGGGTAAATATAAACCAATACATTCTCCAAAGTCTGACACATTTGGTATTCAAGCAAGTTTGGTAAGATACTGGAGACTTTGGGATACTGTAGTAGACATACCATCTACAGTAGACTCTCGATTATCCACGGAGTAATTGTGTATAATTGAAATTGTAGATAATGCAAACTTAACAAAAAATACCTGGAAATAACCAACCTTGACTTTTAATTTGAATTTATTTGGAGATATAGCCTATGAATCGTTATTGAACATAATTAAATCTAAGGCTTACCTTATGATCCAATTTAATATATTGCGGAGACCTAGGTTTCTACGTCGAAACGTTATCGTCAGTCCTTTGTCTCATAGGCTAGCTAAACTTTTAGTTTGCCATCTCTTACTTGAGATATTGTCGATTTGGTATAATTTGTAACATTGAACACATATAAATATTTACAAAGACATAAATGAAAACAACTTAGATACATGGCCATGATCTTCTTTATCAATCCTAACCTCCGAAGTTGGGGTGTGGTGATTTTTACTTCTAGCAGCATGGTCTTATCACTCCATAGAGTTACGTATTTTTGCAAACAGGTGTTTGATAACATTGTATTGTATTATTTATTTCTTATTTCAATTAATGAATCAAACATGATGTTAGCAGCGAAGTTTCTTTGGTCATTTAGTATTAGGGATGGGTCGGTTTTGGTAGCATTATACAGGGTGTCACAAAAAATCGGAACTGGCTATACATAGCCATATTCTACATACAAAAATAAATCAAAAATGTTCAGTAAAATTTTTTTGATTGAAACTTTGTTTAGCCACTATCTGCCATTTTGTTTCTTTCACTTAACTATTTCTATTTCTGTAATGGATTAATGTATCAAGTTAAAATTTGGTATAAAGATTTACAGGATAAATTTCTAAATCCACAAAAAAAAATAATTTTTCCGACGTTTATTAATTTCAAAATGGCGGCCACTTCAAATTTGTAAACATAAATATAAAAAAATTGCTGAATTTATGAAAACATGTCAGGAACACTTTTATTTAGCAATTTAATTCCCTATCCATCGATACCAAGTTCAAAACAATCGAATAAGAAATAGCTGAAATATAGGCCTAATGACTTTTAGTTGTTAAATGGGTTAGAATAAGGTTAAGCTAGTCAGGTTTGCCCCGGCATTATACAGTAGAACCTCTTTAATACGAACTAATTGGGACCAGGGGTAGTTCGGACTATTGAATAGTTCGGATTACAGAAAATATCGTTGGTTTTACATAAAAATAGATAAAACATGGCTAAATTGGCTCTTAATTGTTACAGGAAAAGTGAAAAAATGCTTTATAAAAAAAATTGAGTGTTTATTTAATAAAGTAGTAAACATAGTGAATAAATAGTACTGTACATTACAATAGAAACAATTACTGTGCGTACATATACAATAAATAACTACTGTACTGTGTATGGATTACAGTTCAATGAGGCGTTCGGATTAGTGGACGTTCGGATTAAGGGGGTTTGGATTAAAGAGGTTCTACTGTACAACAAAAAATCATAATATTTCAGCTAGGGTATCCTGTGTTTTGTGAAAAGGGTCAACTCAAAAAACACCAAACTTCCCAAGACAGCTTTCTTGGCATCATTTGAACATGAAGTGCTTATTGGCCTTACTAACATTTTAATTTAATATGGTAGACCTTAATTAATTTTAATATTTATATGACATGATTTTGGTCCACATTAACAAATTAAATCGCGCAATTCAGCATGTTTGGTATTTATTTAATAAACATAGGGTTTTTTCAGGGTGTGTCAACTGCCATCAATGATTTATGGGTTTGAATAGTTATTATCTCAAATATCTAAATATTTTCAAGCAAATATTTAGATTCCACCCAAACTTTTGTAACCATAGACTTTCATTAAAGTTAGTTTCCTGTATTTAACTTAATCAACTGTTATTCGCTGTATTTGTATCCGTGTTAAAATATTAAATGCCGGTAAGAAGCAGTACCATATTGCAGCAATAAGTAATCCAGGCGGAGTAATTTTGATAATGATTAACAAACAAAATCATCTTAGATATAGGCTTGTACAAAATTCTACTGAAACTTAGTCTGACAATCCTCCTAACCTTATTTTAAAACATCAACAGAAGCTCACCAAGGACTTCAGCCTGCTAACCCTGGTCAGGGAGATGCGTCGTCAGCGTATTGCAATGGTCCAGACCAAGGAGCAGTACGTCCTTGTACACCAAGCTGTGCGAGAACTTTTCCGAGAACAACTGAGAATGATCGATTCTCATCCATACGAGAACATTGACAGCAACGGACTCCCCCTCATCAAATGTGCCAGTCCAGAGCCCACTTACGATACTATCTCATCCTTTCAAAACAATAAGTCTGAAGGTAGTTTTTATATTTTACTGAGTAGATTAATGCGCTAAGATTTAATTGATTTGTAACATTTGTTTTCTTCAATTTGAACCAAACTCGCTAATGTTAGGAGGGATTCACAGTGGTTAAATTTCCCCTCCTGAAATTTATTTTGATTGGTCATTAAACCCATGAGGGACTCGGTAGGCAAGATTTGTTGACATATTCTCTCTAAAATAAGTATTGCTATCATTACACAATTTTCTTTACATAATTGTTCATTAACCATACACAGTATACTTATTTTATGATTATACATTATACAAGTACCACTGTACGAAATGCTATTTTTAATTAACAAGAACATTAATTTAAATGTATTTCGCTTACCATAAATGTAAGTTTTATCCTCAAAAATGAATTACTTGAAATGTTTATGGTATATGAGATGCCTTTTTGGAGGAAAATTAAGCCAATGCTATTTATATTTAGGGCTGCCAAAAGGTATTCAAAGATGCCTGTTAAAACCATAATTATTTTTTTATGACTCAAGATCCTTCTGTTAAATACAGTTGAATGCATTAATTTTAATCTTTTTCAGAAAAACAAGATGAAAAAGAAAAAGAACAAGCTCCACCTTTGCCACAGAAAAAGAGATTGCAAACTTTGTCTTCAAAACAAGCAAAAGAAGTAGAAAACCAGAGTGAAAGGCAGCGGCTGGTAGAGCAAGCTAGCTCGAGTGGGTCTCGGCCACGCATTGCCACTCTACGCAGCCTTTTTGAGCGGCAACACATCACGCGTGATACTCGTCAAGTCTCCCGTAGTCACTCCCTTGGATCTGCACGACATCCCAAGACTTCTACCACTCCTAGTAGGGCTAATTTATTCTAATTATTATAAGTAGATGGAAAGTTGCTCTGTTGAAGGACTTATTATCTTAGGTGTATATACATACAAAGCATTAGGTGGAGCAGCATCCAAAGATCTCTCTCTTTATCTCTATTGATAGAAAACATATAGTAGAATTTAAAAACTGCTTTATTGTTTTATTGCTAATTTACAAGTTTGGGGAAAAAAATAAAGTTTATAATTCCTTGGAACTCAATTAGTTCATTGAAACTTAATTTAACGTAGATATATTTCACATTTCCAACATAGTGCTGTATGAGTCATTGCTTCCAGGACTTTGTTTTAATGTAGAAATTAGCACTGTATGAATAACTTTAATATTTTTTGTGGAAGTGTTTTAAATTGTGTTATAGAAGATTACGCGTAAAGATAATCTTTAAGACACAAGTAGAAGTTTAAGGTACGAGCCTTTGCAAGTGCCTTCAAAACTTCAATGAGTTCTTAAAGGTTAATTACGCAAGTTGTATGCAATACTTTACCTACGACCGTTTTTTTATTACTGACAATCAATTCAATTCATATAGATTTATTTATTTGAATACAATACATAAATACAGAAATGGCGTCAAGTGTAATTTAATAATACCCCCGCTGCAGCAAACCTGCAGACTAAGCAAATTTCCATTTGCCTGATTGGATTTACACTAAATGTCTCCTTAAAAATATCACATTTATTCCCTTTTAAATTAGGCCTAGAATTAGTTTAACGAGTACTTAGGTTTGCTTCATCAGGGAGGGTAAAAAAGTGTTTTTTTTTTGTAAAATGAAAATGTTAATAGTTTAGTAAGATATGAATGCATTTTCCAAATTTGATAAAAATATGTTCATAAACAAGCAAACTACAACAGTTTACTTATTCTCCATAAGAAAAACATGGGAATTTACAATTTCTTTGAATTTTCTCCGTAACCATTAGGCAGATAATAACGCTTAAATATACTAAATTATTTGTTTTCTTAGCTCTACAAAATGGTTTGGAAAGAAATTGCAAAATTTTAATTGCAGAATTCATATATAATATATGTGTCCGTTAGCACGGTAACTCGAGCAAAAATGATCCGATTTTGATTAAATTTGGTACAAATGTGTCAACCTACATTTATTCAAAAGAGTTCGTGAACCAGCATGATCGAACTATAGGAATGGTGGTTTATGGTGTAAAAATTGGGTTTTCCCATTTTTGACCCTAAAATCATAAAATTTCGCGATTTCGTTCCATACCATTTTGTAGAGCTAAAAAAAAAAATAATTTAAAAATAAAATAAATATATTGAAGTGTTGTTGTATGCCTAATTGCCTAATGGTTACGTTGATAACTAAAAAACTTTAAATTAAAAACTCCCATGTTATTCTTATGGAGAATAAATAAACTGTTGTAGTGTGCTTGTTTATGGATATATTTTAATCAAATTTGGCAATTTAGTTTATTTAATACAAAGCTATCAACATTTTAATAATAAACACACTTCAATACTTTCCCTGTAGCAGCAAACCTAGGTAGGCACTCATTAAAATTAATGTAATTTAAATAGGAGAAAAAATTTGACCATTTTCAGGGAATTTTTTGTAGAAATCCAGCCAAGTAAATGGAAATTCGCTTAGTCTGCAGGTTTGCCGGGGGGGGGGTATTTATCATTACAATGACTCAGTTCTCCGTATTGTTTTCTTTCAAAAAGATATGACTTGAACCAGTTCAATGCAGTACTATTTAGTCCACTTCTACTGAGCTTTGAAAGTAACCACTAATGAGAAATGGAATTTAAAGCTTTACTGAGGTCTATGAACAAGCCTACCACTTTAGATCTACTTTCTTAACTATCAACGATGGATTCAATTAAAGCTGTGGCAGCTGTTATGACAGATCTACCACTGCGGAATCCATGTTGGCAGTCATCAAATGTACCTTTATTTTCAAAGAAGCATACCAGTTAGTAATAAACAACCTTTTCATCGATTTTTTAAATTGAAGGCAGCAAAGCAACCGGTCTATAGTTTGATACTGTTTGTCTGTTTCCTTTTTTGAATACCGGTTTTAATTTTGTAATTTTGAGTTTGTTAGGGAAAATTCCTGATATCAAAGATGAGTTAATCACTACTCATAACGTCTAAAAGAGGTTATGTTTTCCTTTTTATTTATAACCTCTCATTGCCACTGATCGTGATGCAACGACTAATTGTCCCAACCACTCACTTGTTGTATAATCAATTAAATTGTCCTTAATAGCTGATAAGTTGACGTTGCAGCATTACAATTTTACTTCTTTTCTCTCAATCCTTGAACCTAAGTAAGTAAACAATACTGTTAAATGAGTCTTTTCAATTCTATGAACTGAATTGAAAAGGCTAGTTTAAAAAAAATCCGCCCCAGGTAAAATAGTTTTATTTGGTGTTAACATTATAATAATAATATTTTTAATTTTTATACACCTTAATGTTATGAAAATAATCTGACCATCATATATACTTTTTGTAATGACTTGGAATTCCCACTCACTATAATGTAATCACTAGATGCATACCTTCCTATATACATCTAAATTGTACTGAATGAGTTTTAGACAACCTATTTGTATGCATTCTGATGCATGACTAACAAATTACAGACATCTCTCACAACAATTGTTTTCTACAACACCTTTTTCCATGTACATACTCTTTTTAAACCAATCATGAATCACTATTTTTTTACAAAGATTTAATTTTTGTAGGTGCAGTAGAAGTAGCCCCAGAGAAACCCACTCCAAAACCAATTCCAGGAAAAGGGATTTTAAGGGTACCTCAGCCTCAACAGACAAAGCCTGCTCTACCTGTCAAGCGAAGCAAATCACTCAGAGTGTTGGGTTCTGGTGACCGCAACAAGTTGTCTGTTCCTACCTTGCCACCTGAGACTAGTGAAACTGATGCTCCTAGGAGGCTTAGTTTAGAGTCAAACTTAGATGAAATCAAGGACTTGGTAAGCGAATCTACTCACCCAACACTAACTGACTGTTTGTCAGTAGATTCAATTGTTGCGGGTCTAGGGGTTCGGGAAAGAAGAAATAGTTTTCGACAAGCCGTACGCAGAGAAGACCATGAATCAAAAAAACATTGGTCTAAGAAACCAGGACTTCTTAGAAGTTATACCTCTGTAGACATGCGTAGTGCAAGAGAAAAACCAGTTTTAGATCTTGATACAACTTCCAGTAAACCTTTACTCCGTCCTAAACCGAATCTTCAGTTGTATTCTAATGGGAAGACTAGGAATCTTTCCGTGGACCCTAGATCGTCTTTTCAAAATCATCCACACTCATCTCCATCTGTCAATCAACCTTGCTTTACTCCTGATGAACTGAAGAAGCTACAGTCACAAGCTTCATCTTCCCGAACACTCATGACTCATTCCACGAGCTTGCGGTTGGCTCCTAAATCCAGAAGAGAAGACTGCCGGGTTCTCTTGTCACCCACAATGCCCAGGCCTGATTTGTATCACTATTATGAACAAATTCACAGCAGCGGAGAATCAACAGTGAGCGCTTCTTCCGATCAAAGTATATCGAACAAACACCTAAAGCCGAATACATCGAGGCCAAAAATTCAAGCATCAACATCGGCACAAAAAAGTGATTCAGATGGGAGTGATAAACAACTTAGCAGAGTGATGCATCACAATCCTAATATAAATACACCAAGAAGACAAGACAAACCAAACCCTTCATCTAAGAAAGGGGGTGTAAGTACTGTAAGTGGACCACCGAGAGAACAAAGCAATTCAATACAGAGCCCTAACTTGAGACAAGAACAAAAGGTTAAGTTATATGAGAGCGTCAAGTCAAGTGAGCCAAAGAGAACGCCTCCAATACCCGAAACAAGACCTGTAGTATATGAGTCGAGAGGTGTGAGGCAAAACTCATCTGGAATATATGGAACTGTATCCAAAGTTCCACCTCCACCTTATATTGAGCCTGGGAAAAATGCACAAAAGCCTGTTTCCAGTCAACATTCACATCAGCCAAGTAATGGAATATACTATGAAGATATTTACAACAGATCACTTTTATTAAGACATATTCCTTCTTCAAGAGATATGGTACTGCCTTCACATAAACCAAACTCATTAGGCATCGACACCAGACCGAGTGTCGGTGACTCTCCTGGGGTGATGTACCAAAAAAATCTCGGAGAAAGGAAACATCCAGAACACGAATATAGAATTACCAATTCAGATATCTACGGAGAAAGACAAACAGAAAGAAAACCTGCGCCACAAGAACATAAGGTGCCTCATCATGACCCCCAAATTATGCATGGAAATGAGCGAAGGTATCAAACTAATGACAATCAACCTAGGAATGAAAGACAACACTCTGACCATAGAGGCCTCTTAGAAAAGAGCTCTCAAGATAGACACTATTTGGAACAAACTCCTAGAACTAATGTCCCAGGACCTTACGCTGATCGAAGATTGTCAGATCAGAGTTATCAGATGCCTCAAGACAAAATTCCAAGCGCATATGATCAAGATGGCAAAGTAGTCCAACAAGATCAGTATTACCGGAGTTTACCTGAGAAAAGATTAGTAAGCCAAGAATACCGACGCAGTCCACAAGAATCATTCTCTAAGCCTGGTGACAGACGATCAAGTGATCAAGAAATTATTACCACTCCAGAATCAGGGCTATCTTCAGTAAATGAGAAGAGGTTTCAAAATCAAGAACATCAAAGCAGTCATCACGATCAGTATTCAAAAGTTGGAACAAACTATCATCCTAACTCTCAGGAGCTGTATTCTCAACTTCCTCAAGATAGAAGGAGTGACAAAAAACCTAGCTATATAAACAGCAGACCTTCAAGGCCACATGATCAGACACCTAGGAGCTCCAGACCTTCCAGTGATGCAGCGAGTGATGATAGACCTGTCAATGAAGTTGAAACTGCTGTCTCTCAAGGTAGGTTCATAATTCATCAAGATCTTATACAGGGTCTAGTAAGTAAAAAAAAAGCCAAACTCCGAGAAATGGTCTTAAGGGGAAAAATAAAAATAAAATCAAGAATTAAATTTTTTCACCAATCATTTTTTAGCAGATGTTCACCATTTTGTATTTTATTCACAAAAACAAGAGCCTCTTTGAAATTTTTAAACCGATCTGAATGAAAATTTGCATGAATTAAAGAGACCTACCATAGAAAAAAATCAACTTATTTCTATTAAAATTTAAAATGGCAGCCTTAAAAGGCTACTAAGTCAATTTCCATGAAAGCGAGTCACTAAATCAATGTTTTAGAAGACATCATATTTTAAGCACTTAAATCCAAATCCAATGGCAATTTTTAAAAATCTGTTCATAAATAAACTAGTCATAGTGATTTTAATGTCAAATTCAAAATAGCGAACATTAGAAACATGTTGACCATGTTTAAAATCCTAGAGATACCTTATTTGATAAAATATGCCAACTTATTTGATCATTTACAGTGTATCTTGGCCCTAAAAAATAAAAATATCTACAGTATTTATAACATTGCTTAGATTTCTCTATTAATTTATTAAAGTACCTAGTATTCTTCCGGAATGTCGCCACCAAGTTTAGCAACACATGCAACTTAAATCCCCTCTGTCCTGTCTCGATGTGCCTGGGTCCATGTTTTTTTTACAGAATTTGTCCTACCAACTCGGTTCCTGCAGTCCTCAACTGGTCCCGTCTTATGAAAGCGTGTTGGTGCGGTGTCCTCCTAAATGTAGCAGCTTCGATGTCGTCAATATTACTGTCGGACATAGACTGACTCTCTGTATCAGACGGATCTCTTCTTTAGTCGTAGAGGGGGCCTCTACATCCCCCTCCGGGCGGATTCATGGTCCTGGGAGGCAGCTCGTTAGGCCACCGAGGACTTAAAATGGATAATAAAAATGGGGTTCAACACGTCAACCAGTGGCACCGGGCTCAAAACATCCAGATACACCTGAGGTGCCGACAGGCAGGATCGGGTCCTAAGGTCCATCTCTGGAGTCTCCCGAGGACTCACCTTAAGTAGTGGTGCAAAGTGCTTAGAGGGTGGGGAAAGTAGCAGTCCCCAGCCAAAGTCCTGGCCACTTTTTCTTCAGCTTTTTCCCTGGATATTTTTCCTCTCCTGGATTTTGCTGAGAAGTGAGAACCCTGAGTATTTTTCTGCTTTGGTGTTTTGCCTATTGTTTCAAGCCATACCTTGTACGTCTTCTGCCGTATTTTTGTGTATTATATGGTACTTACTGTTATGTACCTCTGCAGGTGTAAAGATGAGACGTGGTTCTCGTGATGATCTTGCACTCTGTGGATCAACACCTTCTAGAGTGAAACGTCATGCAAGTGTGGTGCTGCTGCGACATAGCCTCATCCAGGACTCATCAAACCCTACATCTCCTCTCAGTGTCTGGGCTCAAGGTACGAAGTTGAAACTTGTTACAGTACATCCTACCTTAGCAGCAAATCTCATAAATAAACAATTGAACAAAGATATTAACAACAAAGTAGAAATTAGTGAAGAAATAAATTGTAAATAGAAAAATTTACAGTTAGCTATTTCTCACTATCTGAGATGGAACCCTGTTCAGATTAGCATTAAAATTGATTACCTGATCTATAATGTAGGAAGTAATTTGAGTAATAATAGAAAAGTATTTTCTTAATCAAACTCGATAAGCCTATATGACATGATTTATTATCAACTTTTAATGGTGATTTAATTGAATTTTCATAACATTTAAAAATATAATAGTCTATACAGGGTGTTTCATTAAAGCGTAGCGGGCTATGCAGATTCAGATTCTACATGCAAAAATAAGTCGAAAATGTAGAATAACTTTTTTTCGATTTCGGCTTAGTTTGGCCGTAATCCGCCATTTTGTATTTTTTTGAAAATAATTAATTACTCAAAAACCCTTGGAGATATTTTTATGAAACTTGGTATAAACTTTAAGTCTACAGGTATAAACATTCTCCAAAAATATCTTCGATCAGGCTCATCTAGTTTCAAAATGGCGACCATTTAATTTTTTTTTGTAATGGCCGCTTTTCAGTGAGTTTTACTTAAAAGAATTTAAATGGCCGCCATTTTGAAATTTGATGAGCCTGATCAAAGATATTTTCAGAGAATCTTTATACCTGTAGACTTAAAGTTTATACCAAGTTTCATAAAAATATCTCCAAGGGTTTTTGAGTAATTAATTATTTTCAAAAAAATACAAAATGGCGGATTACGGCCAAACTAAGCTGAAATCGAAAAAAAGTTATTCTTCATTTTCGACTTATTTTTGCATGTAGAATCTGAATCTCTATAGCCCGCTACGCTTTACTGAAACACCCTGTATACTTTTGTCATATACTTAGCATTAAGTCGTACTCATTATGAAATGTGTTTTTATTTCATCCTTTTTTGCAGCAACTGGGGATCAAACTGGCTCTCAGACACCTAAGGTAAGAAAATAAATAGATAATTAAAATAATACCCCCGCCGCAGCAAACCTGCCGACTAAGCGAATTTCCATTTGTCTTAATTGATTTTCAATTAAATATATTTTAATAACATTAGGTTTAACCAGTACCTAGGTTTGCTGCTACAAGGAAACTAATAAAGTGTGTTTTTTTGTAAAATATTGATAGCTTAGTACAAATTAATAAATTTGATCAAAATACAAAATATATCCATAAACAAGCAAACTACAACATTTGACAGTATTCTCCATAAGAATAACATGGGAATTTTAAATTTACAATTTTTTTAATTTTCTCCGTTACTATTAACCGAACAAAAATACTTTTATATACTAAATTAATTGTTTTTTTAAGCTCTTTAAAAAGGTCTAAAGAGAAATTGGGAAATTTTGTGTTTTGAGGGTCAAAAGTGAGAAAAACCAATTTTTACCCCATAAAACCCCCCGTAAAGCCCCGTTCCCATGGTCCGATCATGCTGGTTCGCGAACTCATTCAAGTTTATCCCACTTTACACCTTTAAACCAAATTTCATCAAAATCGGACAAAAATTACTCAAGTTATCGCGTTCACGGACGTATATATATATATATATATATATATATATATATATATATATATATAAGTCTATATATAAGTCTATATATATATATACATATATAAAAATTTGAACGAATGGTGTTTTTGGCCTCTGGGAACATCAAAATGAAAAAGTAAATCGGTCCCGGGTCTAGGTCTTACTTTGCCACCTACGGTAATAGCTACTTCCCTATAGGGAAATTCGCTAAAAGTTATTATTATCGGTTGTTTGTCATCCGATTTGAACAAATAAGGTTTCATTTTATTTGGATTTAAATCTTCTATCTTTTTGGTCTGAAAAACAATTTTCTTTATATTTACGGTTTTCATGAACTTTGGTATTAAAGATTTTAAATTGCCGCCATATTAAAAAGGCTTGAAATATTGGAACGAAACTTTTTACGCTTCTTTTACCTACTAAAATAGACATTAATAGCAATTTTGAAATTTTTATCTTGAAAATTAATTCTTAAAAATCACAAATATTTTTTTGAGAATATAGGAATTATAGAGAAATGATTATAGATAACAAATAAAAAGTAATAGATTACTGTAGTTTTGATGTGAGTTTTATCACCTTTAAACACTGTAATTACTTAAGATATTTTGAGCAATGGGGAAAAGTATCCTTCAGACATACATTACAAATAAAAGCAAGTGGCTCACTTTTTAATGGATGGTTAGTTTCAGTATTGAGTTAGACAGCTAATAATAATCCATTGAATTAGAGTTGGAGAATTTAGATACTACTTGTATTACATCAGCTGAGGAAATTTCTGACCATGTGAACATTGTTGATATTACTCAGAAGATCTACTTAATCATTGGGATCGTGATATGTTCCTTTCCTTAACTGACTTTCAGTTAAGGAAATGAAAAAATATTAAAAAATTGTTAAATTCATCCGAATCTAGATTGACAGCAGAACTGTGAGTTGGAGAAAACTCCATGGTTATAACTTTCCATGCAGCCTTGCAGGAATTTGAAGCATTGCTTATATACTGCTCCTCAGACATTTTTTTAGTTTGCAGAAGTTCACTATTAATCTTTTTAGTAGGTAGCAATTAAACATTATAGGCATTGATGATGTTTACCTGACCATAGTAAATGATGTCGATATTACTGCGATAACAGAGGGACATGGTGATTAATGCCCACTAAATTACATTTCAGATTCCTAAGTTTTGTGAGGGAATTTCTGTGTGTGTGTCGATTTCGTTATCCTATTGCCAAAATAGTTCAGCGATGCTGGGTTTAAATTTCCAGGGGTCGATGTGAACCAACAAAATATTGTTGATGTGAAATTCCACTCAATATTAAATTTGTTTCGAATAATCTAAAGTATCAATCGTCTGTGTTCAATCAAATTCCTTTATTGAAAATGATAGGGTAACTCAGTGAAATGTGCGAACCAGTTGTCGCTATTCACTCATCATCTTACCCTACCAGACGCGGAAGAAAACGTTGTCGTGTATAATCTATGTGTCGTGTTATCTTTTAATTCAATTCTCGCGTTAGAATCTATTTCAAGAATTAGGTTCGATAGCTTGTACAGCTAGTTAGGATGCTGAATGTTCTTCGAGCAAACTAGGATCGGTATCAAAGGTTATAGGATCAAACTAAACCTTGGTACGCTCCGATCGTTACCCTAACCCCACGCAAATGCGCTCTAAACAACCAAGAGGTTAAAGGTAGATAGCCTGCACAGCTAAGTAGGATGCTGAATACACTTCAAGCAAACTAGGATAGGTTACGGTAGGTTAATCGTCACCTAAACGTCCGTGTGAACCTCGTTCGCTACCCTAAACCCACGCGAATGCGCTCTAAACAACAAAGAGGTTAAGGATAGATAGCCTGCACAGCTAACTAGGATGCTGAATATACTTCAGCAATCTAGGATAGGTTACGGTAGGTTAATCGTTACCTAAACGCCCGTATGAACCTCGGTCACTACCCTAAACCCCACGCAAATGCGCTCTAAACAACAAAGAGGTTAAGGATAGATAGCCTGCACAGCTAACTAGGATGCTGAATATACTTCAGCAATCTAGGATAGGTTACGGTAGGTTAATCGTTACCTAAACGCCCGTATGAACCTCGGTCGCTACCCTAAACCCCACGCAAATGCGCTCTAAACAACAAAGAGGTTAAGGATAGATAGCCTGCACAGCTAACTAGGATGCTGAATACACTTCAGCAACCTAGGATAGGTTACGGTAGGTTAATCGTCACCCAATCGCCCGTGTGAACCTCGTTCGCTACCCTAAACCCACGCAAATGCGCTCTAAACAACCAAAAAGGTTAAGGGCAGATAGCCTGTACGGCTAACTAGGATGCTGAATATACTTCAGCAATCTAGGATAGGTTACGGTAGGTTAATCGTTACCTAAATGCCCGTGTGAACCTCGTTCGCTACCCTAAACCCACGCAAATGCGCTCTAAACAACAAAAAGGTTAAAGGTAGATAGCCTGCACAGCTAAGTAGGATGCTGAATACACTTCAAGCAAACTAGGATAGGTTACGGTAGGTTAATCGTCACCTAAACGTCCGTGTGAACCTCGTTCGCTACCCTAAACCCACGCGAATGCGCTCTAAACAACAAAGAGGTTAAGGATAGATAGCCTGCACAGCTAACTAGGATGCTGAATATACTTCAGCAATCTAGGATAGGTTACGGTAGGTTAATCGTTACCTAAACGCCCGTATGAACCTCGGTCACTACCCTAAACCCCACGCACATGCGCTCTAAACAACAAAGAGGTTAAGGATAGATAGCCTGCACAGCTAACTAGGATGCTGAATATACTTCAGCAATCTAGTATAGGTTACGGTAGGTTAATTTGGATAACTAAGACCCCCACTATCCTTTAGAGATCCCAATTAATCAACAGGCTAACGCTAGCTATGCGAGCACTAAAACAGCTATCCTTAGCTATTTATAAAACAGCTCTTTATATTTATGCAATCGTTCAAGTAAATCAAGTTGGATAATAATAATAAGTATTATTATTATACGAAATAAAGATGTTATTAACCAATCAGTTGGTAGGCTATTATAGCTAGCGGCTATTCAGATCAAAATCAAATGCTATATCGCTAGTCAATGTCGAGGATCCAATCACTAACAACTATAATCAACGGCTAACTATAAACTATTATTCCGGTAGTAGATTCGGTGTTAACTTCGATAGCTATCGATATCAATACGATCGATGGTTCGGATCAGACGCAAAATAATAACAAAACGTCGAGCAAAACACTGTTGTGTTGTGCGTGGCAAATAGGTTATGTCGTTATTAAATCGTAAACACCTTATAGCTAATTGTGTCTCGTAACTCTCTCTACGTTTGAATTAAATACCAGAAATTCGTTAAGCATACAAGATAGGGTAGTAGGCTATAGAATGGCGTACACTGCCCAAAGGATGCTGCTTATACTTCAGCAAAAGGAGAGGTGTTTGGAAGGCAACATTGAGTTTATATGACGTTATATTACACAAGCTTAGGCCATTGTCACCCTCAAATTATATAGTTCTTCAATAACAACTAGGCTAAGGCTTAACCTATTAAATCACTCCTTAACTGCGATACTAGAGGGTTTAGGTAATTGAGTAGCGTGTTCTGCCCAAAGGATGCTGCTTATGCTTCAGCAAAAGGAGGGATATTGGAAGGTGACACAGAGGTTATGTAATATGAGATGTGTTGGTAAAAATCCTTTAGAATACTCAATTGGCCTTACTCAACTTTTACTTTCCTCAATAGCCTAGTGTATGCTAACTCGTTTGGATTTTATATAGCTAGTCGGCAAAATTTCTTTAACTTCAAACTAATTATTTCACAATTTAAAATCTAAATTAAATTGCAAAAAATACCAATTGATCACTGATCAAAATCGAAAACCTCGTTTATCGTGAACAAATTATCGCAAATCAATTAATCAATATCGTTCGTGAATATCCAAACGTAAGACAACTAGTTTCCCTGAATCATAAAATGATATCAAGTAGGCACTATACCTTAGAGAGAGACGTGTTGATTGGGTCACAAAATGGCACAGACTGTCCGGCGGCGCCCGGTCCCAGTGGTTTTGTTGCACGTCTGGGCCGGTCATGCGCAGAAACCAGTTTTGGCAGTCTGACTCGGCCTCGGCGGCGGCTACATCGGTGCTCGCGCTAACTACTTGAGCCTCGCCTCGCCATGCTTAACCTCAAAATCTTAGGTCGTCCGTACTACCTGACTGATCCTCAACTATAAACATTGTTGTCTTCCGATTTCAGCCGTGATATGATAAAAAAAGTGAGGTGTAAAAAATCAACCCTTACAGTTTATTACTGCTTTATATATCTAAGATTAAATTGCACTCGATAAATTGAAAATCGATCACCTTTTAATTTAAAAAAGCATTACGTCAAATTCATTACCTATACTGAGAATATTTGGGTCTATAAAAGCTCAATAAATGTTCCCCTCAATCAAAAATCTCAGGCTCCCTCACCTCTAGTTTTTATATTCCTTGTTGATAATATTCAGAAAATGAAATTGATTTCTTTATAAATATGTATTGAAGGAACTCTGAACAAGTATTCAAATATAAGAACTACTATTATCCATCCAGATCTTAACTTTTAGGTCTTGAGATTATTTATTGTTGATTGTTGTTCCAGCAGGAAGATCCCTGGTCTGGATCCGTAGGGGTTGATGTGGACCAGGTGGCAGCCAGCATCACTTCAAAAAAAGGTACAAAAAATATACAGGTATAATTGTCAACGTGTAAGATTGAATCAGGCTCTTACAGCTGGAAAATATCAGCTGATCTTGTTTATTTAGTTAGTGTTATGAATGTTTACCAAAATCCCTTTTCACATATGAGTATTTGTAAGAAGAAAGACATTTGGCTTAGACATATATTGTGGTAAAGGGAACAGATAAACTCGTCCAATAAAAGAGTTCTAGACAGTTGGAAGCATTCAAATATTTCATAACGCATTAACATTTAACTTGATATTCCACCCATCTAAAGGGTATTTGGTGTTTACCGTCCAATGCTCCATAGTTAATAATACCCCCACCGCAGCAAACTAAATCAATGATCAAATCTTTAGTGAGAAGATTGGTAGATCCATTAGCCAGTCTTTGAGTTTCCTCTTCAAATCTTGATTTCTTAAGATCTTCAAGTGGTTGGGCAGACTATTGTAGGTAGGCTTCCTGCTGTATTGAGTTGTATGGTGAGCTGGGAGAAGGTAGTCTGTCTTTGAGTGTTGTGAGAGTGAGAATCTTTTCCTCCTGTAAGCTCACTTTGTTCATTATAGTTAATCACTGCAAGGATGTATAGTGATATCACAGTCATGATTTTTAGTGATTTATAAGCTTCCCTGCAGCTTTCTGTAGGGCTGAGATCAGCTAGTGTTCTTATCACTTTTTTCTGAAGTCGCAGTATCTTTGTAAGGTTCTGCTCTGTGGTTCCACCCCAGACCACTAATCCATATCTTATGTGGGACTCTACTAAGGCATAGTAACCAGTCTTAGTTGCTTCCTGTCCTATCCATTTAATTCTACGCATTACATAAATTCCTGATCCTATTTTTTTGCACAGGCTATTCACATGTTCTGTCCAAGAGAGTTTGGCATCGATGGTCATGCCTAGTAGTTTGGAATGTTCATTGACTGTGATATTTGAAGCTTCAGTTGACTGTAGCTGTCTTCTGCTGAAATTTATCAAATCCAGTAATCTGGTCAACGATTGCCAGTTGGTATGGTAATGGTATGGAGTTCAATCCCAATTGATTCAGATAAAAGGGTTTCTACTACTGTAGTTAAAGTTAAACAAGGGTCATACTATTTTATATACGTCTTAGGGATTTTTTACTAATAAAACACAATCATTTCAGATGATAAAATGATGAGGGCAGCCTTAGAAGCTCTACACCTCAGAAAAGCTTCTCAGTCAACTCCTAAATCCACTCCCACAAGTCACAAAGCTGCTCAGTCAAAATCTCTGCAACATTCACAGAAAACACCAAAAGTGGGTAATTTAACTCCTAAGGCAAGTCAGAACACACCCAAACAAAATCATCTGTCTGCCAGTGGAGGGGAGGGAAACAGCAAACCTGTGGGTTCTCCTCCTCAATATCAACCTCCTCCTGAAGCTAAACCAGGTTTGTAAAACTACCCTTCTAGTTCAGTAAACACCATTTAAACCACTCACCCTAAAACCACTGCCTGCAAAACAGAAATCAGGGTAAACCAAAACCATTACCTAAATAGTATTTAAATTCCAACTTTTGATCTACCCCCTAATTTTGGTTAATTGTTGCTAAGTTGTGAAGAAAACCACTAATGTTCCTATTTGTACAGGATTGCAATTACATTGAATTTCCTTTCACATCTAACACTATTATTAAAACCAGAAGTACGCTACATTTAATGATTTACTTAGTTTTCATTAAAAATTTTTTATGGCAGGAAAAAAATTGAAATATTATATTACATTATCATCACTCTGACACAGTTCATCAAAGCATTTTCTTTCGATTGACTACAGTTAAAAATTATGTCAGTCAAAGATTTAATATTACAACAGCAAGTACAATATAATGATTTGGATACTTGTGCTAGCAGTATTCTATGTTATCTAAAATCTAAATTTCATATCCCTTTTTTTTTCATTTTGTGTGAGACACATGTTTGCGTTGATATACAAATATTCATAAAGTTTCCTCTTTCAGGTCCATTTCGTAAGCAGCAACAATACCTGTGATAGTCTTCTCTGATGGGTTGCAGGGTAAAATCTCTGCCTATCCACATCAACGTTATGTGATTTATCTTAAGGTTAATTGAGTTATTAGTTATATTAGACCTGTTTTAAATATGACATTAGTTTATGAGGAAACGTTTATGATAAATAAGGTTGTGCGTTAAATTCTATTAGATTAATCTTCAGTAGTATCAAAGTTATATAAATGTTGTGACAGTAAAATAACTATATATATTGTTAGTCATTCTAGAAAATTAGAAAAATGATTTTATAGCTATAAAAATTGTTGCTTAAATGTTACGAACATTCATTTTGCTGCTAATACAACTGATGTAGCAGATTTGTGGCTGTCAGTGTTAAGTTAATTTATTGTTAAATCAAAGTTTTCTGAAGGGTCAAAGTCCACTGTTACTGTTAACATTGATTGGATTATTGAAATTGAATGAAAATATGTCAAGTAAAGTTAAGAGTATTAGGTTAGGCAACCTAATTATAAACTCATATTCTTGTTTGAAGGTATATCGCGGACATTTTCCAGCACAATGGTAAAAACGAACGATATTTTCATATTTTAACCCATATTCTATTTCATTTTCATTTTCCAACTAATAAAAGTTCTAACATTTTGTCGTCAGTAAAACTTTTAGGCATCCATGTGGATGCAAAGCTCGCCTGGGAACGCCACACACTACTCATGTTGTTTCTAAGATACCTCGAGTCTGCTTTTTGTTTTTGTTGAGAAGACTTAGGAGTTGTGTCTCGAATAGTATGCTCATTACTGCATATTACAGTTTCTTTCACTCCCTTCTTCTTTATGGATTATGGAAACATTTTGTGGGGCAATAGCTCTGGGGCCAGGAAGGTTTTCACATGGCAGAAAAAAGCACTAAGAATAACGACCAGCAAACCTCTCTTTATCAAACATAGAATAATGACTCTACAATGTATATTCATTTTTCAAAATTTGCTATCTGTTAAAGAAAATCTGTCTTCATTTCCAAAACGTAACAAATTTCACAGTTATAATACTATAATACCCCCGCCACAGCAAACCTGCCGACTAAGAGAATTTCCATTTGTCTGAATTGAATTGCAATTAAATTTAAATAACATTGGGTTTAACGAGTACCTAGGTTTGCTGCTAAAAGGAAAATAATAGAGTATTTTTCATAATAAAATATTAATAGCTTAACATTAGATCAATAAATTTTCTAAGTTTGATCAAAATATATCCATAAATAAGCAAACTACAACATTTTACAATATTCTCCATATATAATTTTTAAATTTTCTCTGTTACCAATAACCATACAAAAACACCTTGATATACTAAATTATTTTTTAAAATCTATTTAGAAGGTCTCGAGCGAAATTGGAAAATCTTGTGTTTTAAAAGCCAAAAATGAGGAAAACCAGTTCTTACCCCATAAAATCCCACGTAAAACCCCGTTCCCATGGTCCGATCACGTTGGTCTGTGAACTCATTCAAGTTTGTCCCGCCTTACACCTTTAAACCAAATTTCATCAAAATCGGACATAAATTACTCAAGTTATTGTGTTCACGGACACATAAATATGTACAAATTTGAACGAATGGTGTATTTTTTCCTCTGGGGACATCAAAATGAAAAAGTAAATTGGTCCCGGTGGCACCTACGGTAATAGCTACTTCCCTGTAGGGAAATTCCCTAAAATGTGAGCAGCTAGATATTACGATAGTAAGATTATGAAAAAACTAACTATAGCCACAAATTCCGATAAATACAGCTCTTTAATAAGATAGCCTACCTGTATTGTTACAAGAGCCTAACTTTGTTAAATTTAAAAATAAATTGGCTGATTGGCTTCTTGACAGAAGATTTTATTCTGTAGGAGAGTTCTTAGGATATCAAATATCTAATAAAGATTTTTTTATTTCCGTTGTAATTTCGTCTCCATCAATGCACTACATACACTAGACCTAATCCATAGAAAAAGACTGTCCATTGTACTGTTGTATTTAACGAAATAAAGATATTCTTATTCTTATGAGGGGCAAACAGTGTTCAACATATCCTACCTGGAGGAATAAAAAAAACATCTATACACACATATCTGCATAATTTTATGAAACATAGTAGATTTTAACTATATTTCATAACCTGATACAATTGTTTAACACCCAACTTTAAATTAGATAACTTTTATCAAATATAAATAATAATTTAACAGTGACTTAAAAATACATAATAACTCTACTATCATCGTAGTTTTCAATTACTGAAATTGGTATTAAAACAATAATAGCGATGATTAACTGTAAAAATATAAACAATTCAAAAGTCAACGTTTGGAAATTTACATCAATAACTAAAGAATACATAAAATCTGTACAAATGACTATTAAGGATAAATATATCGATATTTTTCTGAATATAGCCTAAGTTAGTTGTGTATCCACTCCTTCTTCCTTAATGTTATCCTATGACAAGTGCTCTTTCCCCAAAAACTAAATTTTGACTAGGTACTAATCAAATTAACTACTAATTAATTTGTATAGCTTATGTAATATATCACTGTATTTTTTAACCTTGATTCAAAGACTAAAATACTGCCAAGGGAAAAAAAAAAAAATTAAGCTTCAATTATCATTTTATTTAAAAATCAAAATTCATTAACTATTGTCAACAATGATGACCTATCATTGTTTAGTAACAGTGGACTTAGTAATGAAGTGTTAGAAACAAAAAATTAGAAACTATACAAACATTTCACAAGATTAGGCTCAATGTAGGAGAAGAGTTGTGTAGTGAATAAGGTTCCTTGTAGCTTGTAGTGAATACTATTACGGTTATGTTATTGTTTACTTGAACTCTCAAGTAGGGACTATGTGCTTCCATTAAATACTTATACATTTACCTTGTAACTCATCTTTAGCAACTTTTTTGTTCTACAGTATCTTTATACCCAGTTCTGGCTCCCTGTTTTCTTTATCGTTGTTATAAATTTTCCTCTGAAAGCCCATAAAAAATAAAAATGGGATGATGTGTTGTCCCCATTAGGGTTGACATTTGACAACATCAGTAATAAAATTAACTTAGATCTTTTTCTTACTCGGAGTCAATAATATAATTTTATCCCTATCGGAAATATAAATTTTAAAAAAATCTTTCTTGCATTGGTGTCTCAAAATTGTTGGCAACTCCCACAAAAAAACAACCCATTCTTTATATTACTTAGTATCCAAAGTGTGTTACATGGTATAGTTATATTGAAAGGTAATTTTATACTTTTAAATTATGATATACTTGAAATTGCTGGATTATTTGAGTTTGTCAGACAAATTAAAATTCTCATTTCGTAAAAAGTTATAGGTAGAAATTGAATATGATTTTTGGTTCATGGCAATTTTTGTTTGGATGAAAGTATTAATCAATTCAATTTCAAAATGTTCTTTACTATCTCCAAATTGTTTTATCTGTCACATATATACTTAATATAAATCAATTACTCAAATAAATAACCACTATTTTGTACTTTTCACTTACTTATTCAAGTTTTATGTAGTGTGTAACTAGCTTTTAACATTGAAATTGATTATTGATGGGCTATTAAACATTTTATAAAGCTAATCTCTTGGTCAATCTTGTTAATTTTGCTAAGGAAATGTTTCTTCACTTAATAGTTAAATTTTTTGGACGAATATAAATAATGAATATAAACTTTTAGTTAAAATATTCTGTTTGCATTTATAAATTTGGAATATTTACAAAATAACTATGCTTATAAACAAAACAGTCGTGATTGTCTATCATATCACCTTTGTCTTTCAAAAGAGTAATTCTAAAAAAATCTATTTGTTTCTAAAATATGTACATAATATTGATGCTCATATTTAGTCACTCATTAGCATTTGGACTGATGGATATACTTTAGATCATAATTTGACTTCAAATAAGGTATTTAGTATATTAGGTATATATTTTGTTATCTAGATGTTGAAAACATGTGTGAATTTTACCATAGATAAATGTTTGTATATACCACGAATCAGTGAAATTATGGTAATAGTGAACAAGTTACATTCCTTTTACTTTGTTAAGTCTGTAGTTTTAGAATGTGTCAAGAATAATAGCTGTACTTTTTACAATCATTTTGATATTGCTTAGTTGTACAAATGTTTACCTAGTTAAGGAAACGATCGAAAGAATCAGTAGATAAGTATTTGTTAAATGTATAACATGTGGTATATTTTTCAGGAATGAAGATCATTGTGATATTACCTTAATATTTTCACTCACAATACTTGTTCTTCCCAATCCTCCGTGAGGTTTTATAACATTTTTGTTAGTAAAATGAGAGACAGTTAAGTTAAGACCCGTTGTGATCGATAAAAAAATCTTTAGTGTAAAGATTGTTATAATATTATAATAGTTGGTTTAGAATTCAACATTCATTGTTTCTAACTATATTTTTTGGTCGCTGTATGGAGACAATTCAGCAGTTTTGTATTGGATATAGGTCATTTTATACAACAATTTTCGTTACCAATAACTGAACAAACATAAATCTGAAAATAAAATATAAAGTGTACTTTGACCACTTTTTTACAACAGACCTATTTGTTGTGTAATATAATGGAACATAATTTGAAATAGTATATTCATCAATTAAGCACACCCATAGAACTGCATATTTGTCTACAAAATTTGTTATGAATTAATGAGTAAGAGTTTTATTATAACAGATTATGTTAGTTGGGAAATCAATATACAGTACAGCCCCAACAAATCAATAATCTTAAAAGTGTATGTACAATTTCAGCACTATTCTTGATTAAATTTACAAAGAAAATACTAATTTGAATCAGCATATGTTTTTTTTATATTTATTTCCGTAAACCAGAAAGATGTATGCAAAACTTGAAGTTGATGGGGTTTGTATATTGTCTGAAAAAAATGCTACTATACTACTAGATATTATCTCGACATAATACAATGACAACTTGTTCACATAATGAAATGACTAATTGATTGTTTAATGTTTTACATTTGTTAATTTTCAACATAAGTGTTTAGAATATTACCGTAGTTATATTTCTATGTGAGTATTAAAATATATTTTTGTTAAAAATCATGTAATTGTGGAGTTTTTACAGGTAATGTTTTATGGTTGATGTTTATATTTTACGACTACTACTTAATATCTGTTTGTTAAAGCTTATGGCATAACTATAAATATATATTTTTGTATTTTGTATGTTAAATTTGGAATAAAAAAATTAAATTAACTATTTGAAATGTAATATTTTGAATTGAATCTATGTTTAATGTTACAAATAAAGTCAACTTTTCATTAACAGGTGTTTTAATAACTAACTAATATGTTGTATCTTATTTTAAAACAAATCAAACTTTGAACTTTGTTTGTATTTCTAACTATAGACAGCTATTTTATGTACTGGAAGAATAGGATCATCAAAACAGCTGGTTATTTCTGTAAAATCCAAGAGAAATTTAGGTTTTATTTAAACATACCCCATGTAAATTGCTACGAATTCTTTTTACAATCTTCCTCTATACATAGTATATAATAATGGAGAAAGTATTGTTTTCATACAAACTTTTGAGTGTGATTTTTAAGTGGAAATATCCATTTTGGACCACCTGAACTCAGAAAAGTGGTTTTCAAAGTGATGTTTGTGGATGTGTACAGAGCTACAGACTACACCTGTGGTCCTATTTTGATTATTTGCTATGTGTTTACCAATCCGTAGTATCTGAAGGGGTTTATTTTTCATTCATTTTATGGGAACTTGTTTTCTAATGGTGATTTTCCCATAAGGAAAGATTAAAAAAAAAAAAAAATAGGATTTTCACAAAAACGGCTTGAACAATTTTGATTAAAATTTAGTATCCTTTTACAGTGTAAACAAATTCGTACAGTACATCTCCCAATTCTGTAAAAATTATCTTTCAAAAGTTATTGCAGTTTTTGTGATTTCCCCCCTAAAATATCTTAGTTGCTCCCTCCACTTGCCCATGCTAAGGGTTGATGACAAGAAGACAAGCTTACGGGAGAAAGTAAGTGTCAGAGCTAGATCTTGTACTGTGATCTCTAATACACAATAGGGTGGGTTTTGGATGATTTTGTGGTTAAAGTGTAGGGCATTTGTACTAGTGGCCTTGGTAATTTGGCATTTTGCTATACAAAAATGATATAAACCAGTGGTTTAGAGTTTTCTAGCTCTAGGCCAACCTAACAAGTAAAAAACGTATGTCTTTAAATGAGGGGAGATATCTCATTCCCTAAGTTACCTCTTTACAAGATGTTAAATGATTTATTCAGAGTATCTGCCAGTCACTTATTTTAATTTGAAGGCATTCTGAGCTGTTAAAAACAGTTTTATTTTATTTTAGATCCTCAAAATTTAGATGCTGCAATTGAAGAAATGTATAGTTCTTTTTTAAATCATGTATTTAGCCAAAGCTCTTGGATGGCTCAAAACTCTTACACAGAAATAATCAAGACTGTGGTGATTATTAATGCCTTTATCCTATAGAAGAAGTTTAGGTGGAGGGATGACGTGGTGGTTCCTTGTCGGAGTGGCACCTAGACGTGAGCAGTCAAGACAACCCGTCATCTCAGATATACGTGTGGTGGCATGATGGTAGATGGGAGTGTGAACGACAACCCACCACCTTGAATAAATGTGTGGTGGTAGGTTGTCTTGATGGCATGTTGTCGTGGTGGTGCCTAGTTGGGTACGTACACGTCAAAATACCACCCCTTTAGTGCAGTGGCGGGTTGTCGCTGTTGTCGGGGTGGCACCTAGTAGCTTGGTGGCGGGTAGACAGCAGCGAACATTAAGCGTACATGACAACCCAACACCTAGTTAAAGATTGGTGGCGGTTAAGTCAGGGGTGGTACCTTGTCCCCGGCGTGCGTGTTGGCAGGTAGACGGCAGTGAATATGGAGCGTCCATGACATTCGACCACCTTCGTTGGCAGAAGCCCCATAAAACTCCGTTCCCACGGTCCAATCATGCTAGTTCGCGATCTCATTCAACTTTTTCCCACCCTACACCTTCAAGTCAAATTCTATCAATAAAATAGGAAAAATATGGGGAGATGTTATATACATTATATTACATTACTATACACATATATACACCAGTGACGTAGACAGGATTTCAAAATGGGGGGATTGACCGACCGGGCGGTCTAGGGGGTATTCCATACCCCCTAGGTAAAAGGAGGGTCCGGGAAAAGTTAGTTATAGGCGCCATTTTGTTATTAGGGGGCCGATTATGGTTTTCTTTATGCCAATTTTTATGTTTCGTCAAGACCTGTAAAATGGTAGGTACCAAACTCGACTATACTTGCTATTTGAAAACTTTGAGCTACCCCCTACCCCCACTCTACCCCTACGGGCAAAATTTTTGCCCTACCCCCACTACCCTTAGAGGTTAAGTGGTAGAGAGGACTTGCTAGTCCTAACTTCGGCTCTTAAATTAAGACATTTTTCATTTCATTTCATTACCCCTAAGGGCAAAATTTTCAAAATTTACCATAATTATTGTTGCCCCTCATATCTAAGAAGGTTGCCTCAAACCAATTTCAAATATCTCAAATAGTTAAATAGTTTAAGGGGGTGCAACTTAATTTTCAGCCACCCTCATGGTTATTTGGATTTGAAATGTTTTAGGGCACCTTTTTGTTATTAGGGGGCCGATTATGGTTTTCTTTATGTCAATTTTTATGTTTCGTCAAGACCTGTAAAATGGTACCAAACTCGACTATACTTGCTATTTGAAAACTTTGAGCTACCCCCTACCCCCACTCTACCCCTAAGGGCAAAAGTTTCAAAATTGATCATCATTTTTGTAGCCTCCCATATCGAAGAAGGTTGTCGCAAACAGATTTCAAATATCTTAAATGGTTGAAAAGTTAAGGGGGGGGGGTGTAAGTTACTTTTCAGTTATAATAAGGATCATACACTTTTGAGAAAACTGTAAAGCCTATCATCCGCATACTTGAATGTAAGGTCTTCAAGTGAAACTGCTCTTTAAATCACGAACCTCAGTTTAAGGGTCACGAACCTCACATTTAAATTTTAATATCAAAGATGCATTTGCTGTTAGATTTTCAAATTTTTTTGTTGTTTGTTTACTGTTCCCCTGAGTTAATGTTTTGATTCTCGTTATGCATGTTTACATTACGATAAAATTATTCGTTTTCATTCTGCCACACAATTTAATGTGAATACAGAAAAGATTTGTTATCAAAATAAGCTATTAGTACGATTGAGATTTGCCTGAATAATTACCAAATAGCTTAAATATCACGATTTTTCGTTGTACAATGAGGCAAACCTGACCTTCTTGGCCTTATTTTATCCCCTT